GGGCGTGGGGGGGGGGGCGGGGGTGGGGGGGGGGGGGGGGGGGGGAATACCTGAAGGAAATTCACATGTTCGAAAAGCGAGATGGAGTGATCACCACAACCCCGGGGAGACAGGGCTTCAAATTTGATGGAGGGTTTTGTGCTGAGAGAGGAAAAAGTAGGCAGAATTCTGGTTCCTCCAGATGCTCTCAGGAAGGAATTCGGGACAGTTGAATTTTGTCGGCTGGCTAAGTATGACTGACTCTTTCGCACTTGGGGTGCACCAAGTCGAGATTGTCGACCGTTTCGACTACCTCGGGGTATCACTACAACCTACCTTAACGTTCACCGATTTCGTGCAAAAGAAGAAAAATGAAGGGGCGGCGGCGATCGGCAGCCTCCACAACTTACGCCGGCTCTCGACCTCAACAGCAACGAAGACGTACCCAAACTCCAACCCATCGTTACCTACGGCCTGAAGCCGATCGCCCACCGGCTGAAGATGGGCCACATGATTGACCTGGACAAAATCGAATCACGCTTCATCAAAAAGGCCTTGTGCCTACGCCGATCGGCTTCTTCCACCGTGGAGTTCGAAGTCTTATTCAAATGCTACGGAATCGAGGGCTCCCCGATGGCGCAATATGTTATACGTATAACGTATTTACGTAGGCGTTATACGTATAACGGATAACGCATAACGTATGCATAACGATCCGAAGGTTGGCAGTTTGAGGTTCGGACGTTATTCCTTTAGAGTTCTATGGGACAGAACTCACTTAAAATTGTTATAATTATGAAATTGGGTATTCATGAGGATGAGAACCAGCTCTCCTCCTTCGTGTGATACTCAAATTCCTACGGTGAGTCTCCTGTGAACATTATGATGCAAAACCCCTGAAATTTGATATTTACCTGGTATATATTGGCAGAGAAAAAAATTGCAGAGGCATTACCCTCTGCCCGACGCTCGCATTCTGTAAGGAGAGGGAGGAAATGAAAAACGGGTCATATTGACCAACCCGACCTTGGGGAATTATGGCCAAAGTTACATATTCCTGTCCGATCACCAGATTTCTCGGCCTTTTGTCCGTTCTTTGGGCAAATTTTTGCAGCGGCCGAATAAACGCGAGGAATGAGGGATCGATAGTTGTTTCTCTTCGCCATGCTCAGAGGTCAGAAAATTTCCACGAAAATGTCTTACGTACAGTAAACATCCCTCTTCCGTACTTCTTCTCGGATATCTTGAAACTGGCACACGTCCGCATAGATTCTGACTTCTGATCGCCCTTAATTAAAATGTCATTAACACCGGAGTTATGTTTTCCACCTCGGCGCAGTTAGAGGAAGTCAATGCTATGGGCGCTAGGACTGTCTAATTAAAGACTTAGCCGTGGTGATGAGGATCCTCCTCACCTAAAAAAATTTTTTCAGTAGCCTCTCCGTGTAACATGATTTAACCTCTTCGCATTTCTCTTTGATACGTAGGGATATATTCCAGATATAAAATAAAAGTAATTTCAGAAGAGAATGAAAAGGAAGGTCACGAATGCGAACGGGAAAGGTACCAGAAATATTTAAAACGGAGATGACTGTGGGAACCGAGCGACATTGTGTGAGATGAGAATGACTTTTCGCAAGAAACACCGGACCGCAATATGGCAAACGGGTTGGAAACTTCAGTCAGTGACGTAAAGTGAAGCAATTATATCTCGTTTATTTCACGATCTCTTCCCTATATACCAGAGATACCAAGCACTCACTCCATTTCAATGTCAACTCTAATTGCGTGCATGTGCATTTCCCTGGGGAATACAACTGGTTGCAAAAATACGTTTTTAACTGTTCAATAACGTTATTGGAATTCCTACATCCCTTAGGACAGACCCTGGGAAGAGAAATTAAGAACTTTTTGAGAGATAATATCAACACATTATATCTAGTTTTTCTCATTGAATCGATGCTCTGTGCTGATTTAGGTATCATTCTTGAAGAATATCCGAAGAAATTGTTCGAGGGTGGGAACGACGACGAGGAAGATTCGTCAAATTAATGTGGAATGATTGAGCAAGATGATCCACGATCACACCGACTCGTGTTCATGTCTTAAACGGGACGTTCTCGTTTCACAAAATGGAAAACCCTCGCTCTCTTCTGGTCACACGCAAGACTTGGAAAGTATTCATCGGCTTTTCCCTCTCTTACTCTGGAGGATTAGCTTTTGGTCGCAGTTTCAAGGGGCAGAAAGGAACGTCACAAAATAGCAATTCTTGCCCGCTGTAGCAGGAGGGACCCATTTTTAACCACCTGGTATCTCGTTCCTCGGGGTCGATGGTATACGCTATACACTTTCCTTGACAGAAATTATGATCAATTTCAAGCCCAAGGCCTTCGTTTTTCTTCCAGGGTTGCCACTTCTCCTCCCTTCTTTTGATGTCGCCCCACCCTTCACATGCGATCCCCGATTGTGTGACGTTCTTGGTTCCTGCATAGTCCGCACCGCACTCGGTGAACTTGCACTCCGCTTGAGCTGTTGAAGGAGAAAATACAGTCTGACTTCATGTGCGATCGTTCTTAAATTTTCAGGTGGGTCGGGAATTTTCGATATTTTCGAAACTCTATCTAAAACATGTTCTTCCCCGCTTTTAGAGCACTTACAATACACTTATTTAATACTTTTAGGATAACGTGTAGGACATGTTCTTCTACGACACTCCAGAAAATTAAATTATTACCTCCCAAACGCTAACTTCATTGCATTTTGTAAGTTACTTATATCATGCCATATTTGAGGAACAGTAAACGCTCACCTCTGTCGTCGCAGAACGGGATATCACAGTATTCCCATGTCATATTTGGGTCGATGACGTAGCACCACGGCCTATCCTTGAATCCCGGGTTCCGACAGTAATTTTTGTCAAGACTGAAGATTTCTCCAAATGTATGGTAACGATAATTATACGCTATAAATAAATTATTCCCATCGAAAGGAAAAGGCTGGGGATACCACGGCAGGCACTCTTTTCCAGTCTCTGTCACGTTCACCGTCCCTATATATTCCGTCCCCCTCGCCGTCATGCGGCATTGCGGATAGTCGTGCTTTCCTTCACCTGCAGATGCAAAGCCCCACTGGATTCCATATGTTGATCCATACCAGAACATCCATTCATTTCATGAATAGAGAAAACATGTCTTGCGTTTAAAAGAAGCTGTTTGAGGATATGAATCCCTACCGTAAAAATATTAGGATATCAAGATAATGAAGTTGAGGCTGAAGAAGAAGCTTTAAATCTCAACAATCTTAAAAATATGCACTTTTTTCGTAGCATGGTACTTACCGAAAGGTATCCACACCAACCAATCTGATAGCTTTCAACGAATGTACTTAGGAAAGTTTCAAGGAAAAAAGTTCTTCACAGAATGGACAACGAACAAAATAATGTAAATTCTGCATAAACGCACTGTTGCTAAGGGATTCTAGCAGAAGTTTGTAGCAGATGGGGATGTCGCAATCCTCTTGAACGTGAATTCCCGAAGGTGTGGAAACCCAGCACCATGGACCTTCCATTGAGAAAAAGTATGGGGACCGACAAAAGTTGTGAGTGCTGTCAATAGGATCTGGAAATTTGGAGAGGAGGATGTCAATTTTGCTGTCCTCCGGGATTCTGCTCAACCAAGGCTGGCAAGGTTTCCCTGACTTCGTCACGTTCTTTCTTCCCAGGTATTCTCCTCCCCCACCCGTCACTGTACACTCCAATGGAACTGCCAATGCCATTAGGTGTCGGTGATTACATGTCTAAGAGTAGCCATTTTCTAAATTATTTAGGGTCTAAGTCAAACATTTCCAATCACGAACGAGAGGTTCCCTGGAAGTAAGTTTCAGTTTTTACATCCTTGCACGGAACCATGCGTTAAAAAGGATTATCGTGGCAGAAGGGGCATAAACCAACTACATCAGTTGTTTTCGGTTCAAAAGGAATGGTACTATAACTCAGAACTATATTACCCAATTTGCAATGAAATTAATGATGTTTTTCGCCAAAGTGGCTGCTGCAAATGGCGTGAATACTGATTATTGAGTAATGCTGAAAAGTAAACAAGTATTCTTCACCAGTATCAAAAAATACACCCAATACAGAAATAACGCTGGAATGACAAGATTGAAAAACTTCAACCTTATAATCCGGGTTACGTACCAAGATCGTCGCAAAAGGGAATGTCGCAGTATTCCCAATGGATAGAAGGCTCCCTGGCGACGAAACACCACGGTCTTTCCCCGGATCCAGGGTTTCGACAGTAATCAAATTGTTGGTATGGACTCGAGTGGATGAATAAGTCATTAAAACTGACCACCTTCTTTTTGTCGGTTGTTAGAGGCAGATGCTTCACCATTATGTCTGGGAATGTTTCAATATATCGGAATGAATCCCATTCCATGCAGCGCTTCCCTGTCTCGCTTGTATTGATGATACCCATGTATTCCTTCCCCATTTTCGTCTTCCGACAATTTGGATAAATCTCTTCATTCCCTCTCTTTTCATCTGCGAACAAGAAATTGCATGTTTCCATGTTTAGCATTTGGGAAAGGTGAACGGACATGAGCTGCATATTGTATCCCCTCATCGTTCTTCAACAGTTGAGATATGGACTGTGAACAAGGACGAATTAGGAAGTTGCGAGTTCTGGGACAAGTGGATTCTTTCGGATTACTCTTCCTCCTCACAAGACATCATTCCTGGTGCAAGTATTCCAAGGAAACCACCTAGTCGAGCGCTGATGGAGTAAGTTTCGATTTGCGAAATTTTATTTACATAAATGTGTTTTCACTTTTCTCAGGGGGTCCCCTAGAAAAGTGTTGCCAACAACAGTCCCCTTCCATTGATCTTGCCCTGGTTACATAAAAACTATTAATAGCCGAGTCTCCAGAAAAAATGTAATTTTAGTACTTCATTACCCAAATTGTAGTACTTTAGCCCAAACGGTTCTCCAGAATGTACTTCTCATTTCCAATAAAAGAATATATCCTACATTACGAAAACAATATAATAATGTTCATGCATGCAGAAAATTCTCAACATTGTAAAACATGGAAATATAATATGCTCTTGCAGCACCGCTATACAGACAATAACATTGAAAACGACGGTATTTTACATGCTGACTGCTTTAAATGTTGCAAATGAATGATATCGAGATATGCAATTTCCTCTTACTTCGACAGGTCATATATCTTGTTCGAAACAAGCATAGCAAGAAATTAGTGTAAAGTAAAAATCCACTCCAAGCTCTTTCCTTAGATGAAGTTTTCAAGTTTTTACTGAGAAATTCTCATTTTACTGAGAAGGGTCGTCGTTTTCATGACGTGGAGGAATTGCAAGCTACAGCGTGAATTTCTAATCAAACTCGGTGATTGCAAAACATGGTCCGACATTCTGTTTCGCGCGGTTGCATGACTGCAGTGAAAGAGGGCGCGGCTACGTAAGGAAACGAGTACGAATTACATCATATTATAGTACCTAAGGCTTCATAGGACAATATCTGGAATTGTGAGGTATTAGGACCTGATAAATAATAGGAACGTTAAATCATAGCAACATTTAAAAAACTCACGGACAGGGTGCCCCATAAGTCACCCTACCATTTCAAGTTGCAATAATTCGTGTATAACTCCAAGTCAGATTATGACTTCGAATAAGACGATTGCGGAAATGCATAAAAATACATACTAGCCCACCAAAAACTTTCAAACACATATTAATGAATCAACGTCGAATCAACATTAACATGAACGTTCGGGACGTAGGTGCATCGTTGACCTAACGTAGCCTTGTTTGCTGTGAGAAAGGTGTAGGGTAAAATACCCAGAGATGGACCGGTTCCCTGTGTCACAGCACTAAAAAGTTCCATCAACTTCCCTAGTGCACATAAAATTGAAACAACGTGAATTGAATGTTGACTCAACATCCGGATGTTGCATCGATATTGAATCAATGTTGATTCAATGTTATGTGCTACTACAGTATGTTTCCCATGCATGCATACTCGTGTACTGACATAGGCTAGCAACATGCAAGCACATACATACTTCATAGGTGTTCAAGCTACAAATGCACAGTTTTGGAATTTTCCTGCGCTGTGCCCCATAACTTAGTAGAAGCCTTTAACAGGTCCATCATTGGATATTTTAGCCTACTTGTCAAAAGGGAGTTTTTTGTACAACTATTTGAATCCCCATCCAAATGGTTGCTAAGCTCTATTTTTCCCTCCTAATTTCAGAGGTACTGGAGATATATTGGAGAAAAAGCAACATTCCGTTTAATTTGTTATCGCTACCATGAAAAAAGGCTTCAAATTTCGCTCTGGAGGAGCAAAAATAGTCATTACTACTTGGATGGTGGTCTTTAAGCATATTTCCAAGGGGATTCAACGCCATTTCGGCTTTTTTTATGCTCTGCCTCGTGCCAAATGTACTGATACATGCAGAAGTCCCTTTTGAGGCTTTCTTAAAGCTCAGACATAACTCAATTTTTGTCAATGATGCTTCCAATTGACAGTATTGTATACTTCATCTTACTTCTTTTCTTGTATCTTTTGTTGTATCTATTATCGACACAAACTGGAACTTGATTTGCTTTCTTTCTTAAAATTTGATGAGCTGAAGTGTTTCTCTTGAAGGCTTGTTCCACATAAAATTCACAAAAAATACTTCGTAGCATTTTGCCTTAAAAATTCTACTACTATACACTGACATACTCAATTCTGTCTTTGGAAGTGAACAAAAGGGGACGTCGCAGTACTGCCATTCGATTCCTGGGATGGCAGGGTCTCCATTGTAGCACCAAGGCCCCCCAGGGCGACCCCCAGCATTCCTGCAATAATTGTGCTCCGCATCCACGTCGTCCGAGAATGCAGGTCGTCTCGAGCTCCACTTGCGATATTGGAAGGAACGTGGCACTTTCAGCCATGGCTTGCACGACAAACCAGAGATGGTCCTGTTCTTTTTCCCCATATACTCTCCTCCCTTTTGCGTCAGTTTACACTCCAGGGGTACTATAAAATCATGGAAAGAATACTTTACAGGAACGGACTGGTGAAACCGTTTCCGATGGTTATCATGTAGGAAATAAAGTACGAGGGACAATACGAAAGTAAGTAATTTCTTCTCCATAAATTTCAATAGAAATTCATGAATATTTGCAGGGAAAATGAGAACTCCCTACTTTGAATACAGCTTTGCTTCCAAATTGTCTCCATAACTTTCAATGCACCTTCTATGCAAATTTATGAGTGTTCATGCCATCGCTGTAAACCTCATTTTCACATCTGAATAACCACCTATACAACGCATCCTTTACTTAGTCATAGTCCTTTAAGTTCATTCCTCGAAATCCATCCTCACGCGGACTGAAGAGGTGATACGTTGATGGCGCAAGATTCGACCAAAGATTTCGCTCATCTTATTGCTGGGGTGATCTTAGCGAATCACCTCATCCATTTTCATAGTGCCGCCCCTCGTGAAGGCGGAGAGAAACATTTGGAATCTATAACTTAGATTGATTTGAAGCGCTCTGATTTGAGAGTACATTCAGAGTCAAATCGCGGGAACTGTGGTGGGCATTCAAGGGAATAATTGACCTGAATGATTTCTCGCCGAGTTTTGGTTTCGAGGATATTCAAAATAGGATATTCCGCTTGACTATATGACTAACATTCACGTTTTCCAAATTGAATTTAAGCCATTTCCATGTTAAAACGTTCAAATAGGGCACTCTTTTAATTTCAATGTTCTCATTTCGAACCAAAAGCAGGGGTTGGATGACGTCACCAATCCCCCCTCCTAAATTCCTTATGCACAATTTTTTCCCACCGGGTTCAGCCACACAGCATTCTAAAGAGACAAGTCGTTTGAATTTGACAAACAATTTTACATGAATTTCCAAGATACCTGTCGGCATCTTTAACCATGAGAAATGTACCTTACACTCTGTACGGGATGAAGACCAGCTCGATTGGACCACTTTAACCTACAATTCGGCTAACACCGCTGGATATACGATCCGGCAAAGTGTCAGACGTAGGCAAGGATTTCACCTCACAAGCCAAATTGTTAATTCTTTCTTCATGCGAATTCTGGTGAACAATGGACTACAATTTCCAACGTATGGTCTAAAGAGCTATCACTCAGGGAAGACCATCTACAGCCACTCCATGGCAGATGGAAACTTTTATGGGAATTCCGAATTGAAAAGGAAATGCAAGTAAACTGAAAACCTTTCCTTTTGAGGTGGTGGTTTCCATGAGGTATGTTGAACATTTTACTGATGCAAAAATATTGCGGCACAACCTCCTCTACAAAAAATCTCCAGGGTGTGGTCGCATGAATACTGTATACCATCAATTTTCAAAAAGATTATGGCCAGCAATTTTTTGGCCAGCTTCTTTATTTTTTCGTTTTTTAAACCACTGGACTAACTGCACATAGTCGCTAATTGAGCTAACAACAAATCAGAGCAGATCACGATATTACCAACAGAGAACGAAGGCATTAACTCTCCAATTGACGTCACATGTTCCAAAATATTTCGGGCAGCACGTCGCACTTTCCAAAATGGTTGGTCACTGTTGTTTAATAGGCCCATTGTCGGTTTGAAATTGGTATTTTTTTAATGCTTTTATTTCTTGTTTTCGGGAATGGATGGGTAAAGTTTGGCACTTGGTACGAAAGGGTAAAAAGAGTCCTGTTATGGTTCAGCGAAAGTTTCGATTGGAATTCAGCAGTTGAATTCGTTGGAAATGTTCGGCTCATGCTAAAATTATTTGCGGCCTCTTGAGAAGATGCATCTCCTTCAAAATGTTACTCAATACGGTTGACAACAGAGCACCTTGTTAATTGCCGTTTTCTTTCCGCATTTTCCACACTTCCAGTTTCCATTATAACATTGTGGCACTTGATAGCGCTCTCACGAGAAGGCAGATATTGGCAGAATTACAATGAGAAATCGAATTTAAAATCTTTTTTTTGGACAGTACTATTTTTCTTTCAAATATTATTGTAATTATTCAAAATGTCTGCAAGCTATAGCCAAATAAATATATAAATTCCCCCAAAATACCAACACAATTGCTTTTGTTTCAAACACCATATTTAATAAACCTGATACTGTAACTATTCATCATATCAGTAATGCACTTGAGATCCGCGTCAACCCCTTAGTCACTACGGTCTGTGCTCCTTAGTCAATACATAATAAAGCAAAAAGTAACTGAACATCCGAAATAAGGGAAGAAATGTTGTATTAGGTATGAATATACGCTAACCTCTGTCCTCGCAAAATGGGATATCACAGTATTCCCACTGGATGTCAGGCTCAGAGACGAAGCACCAAGGTTTTTCTTTCAACGTGGGATTCCTGCAGTAGTTCTCATGGGATCCTGGATCCTCGTTGAGGAAATGCTCCTCGTATAACATATTGATTTCAAAATCATTGGGTTTCCCATAGGGCTTTGAATCCCATCGCAGGCAGTTTTTCCCTGTTGCAGTCTTGTTCCTTCTGCCTACGTATTCCTTTCCTTTCTCTGTTTTCCGGCAATCTGGGTACACTTTCGAAAGAGCCACAGGTAATTTCCATGCCACTACAAGTACTGTATAATTTCTTTATCTTTTATATCACGCAATTATGCATTCCATGTACTTGTCACTTGTGATTACCCTTGGCATACATTTCATTCAAAGCATGAAACAACCAAAGGAGAACAATATGGAAGATATTTCTAACCTGGTTCAGGACATGTCACACCATGAACGTCAAAGGAGGTGCACCAGAAGTCAGATGTAGAACAGGTTGCATGATGTTTCCTTTTCTCGTCTGTGAATCCTAGTTCACAGGTGAAGATAATTTCGGCTCCATCCGGCGCTGGGTATGTTCCGTTCCATCCCTCATATGTCACTTTTGCATTAGCCAACGCTGGGTACTCCGTCAAACAGAATTCTATGGATTCAATCTTGTTCAGAGGGGACTAATGGACTAGGTTATTCAATTCAAAATCACTTTGTCCTCGGAAGAAAATGAACAACGAAACAGAAACAGGAAATGTCGTATTGACATTTTCCATTTAGGAATGGAGAAATGCTCGTGACTAGTGCTGTGCAACAAGATGAGGCTGTTAAGTGAATCTTTCCCTTCACTTAATGGTGAAAAAGATTGCAATGTGTGCTTGAACAGGAAGAAATGTAATTCATTTAATGTTAGTTCTATAATTTCAGGCGATGATTCAAAGTGAAACATGCAACTATATGTCTACGATGAATTTATACATATAATTGCAATGTAGAACTAGAACTTGAAGGAAAAATAAACGTTAGCTTTATATTGATAGACACACAAGCTGTGCGTTACGATGCAAAATTACGAATTCAAAGCATTCAAGCTTTCCAGCATTCAAGCATTGAAAAGAAAGACCCTCACATGTTCTCCAGTTCCGCAAATACACCCCACCACTTGTACTATCATGTAACCAACACATTTTTGGAGATGCTTAAAAGAACATACTGATATTACTCATTTCCAAGTATGTCATGCCATATCACATTCGCCCTCACTTCAAAGACGAGAAGTATATGAAACGATGGCGAATGGTGATGTGAACGTCTATTACATGTTGGGCGTAAATGATTTGGCCTGGTGCGGCATCTGACTTTTCCTTCGATACGAATAAGGTCTCCACAGTATGAAATCGCTAAAATTCCGGTGATTGTGATTCCACTCTGCGTTCTCTCTGAAGTTTCACTTCACCCAACTTCGGGCTAAGTCGAAGTTCTACAGCATGAGTTATATATCGACGGAAAGAGCTCGAACTGAGCCTCTAAATACCACAGGTTAAAAGTTTGAATGTTGTTTAGAATGGGAAATAGAAGCAGTCCTATGCATGGGACAAAACAGGAGTGACGGTACTTGTTACAGTACTTGTCAGAGAATAGACCACTTCGCATGGTTCCAAGTAGTATTGGCGATATATATTATTCCCTTTTCTCAACCCCTTTCAGAAAAACCCCCAGTCGTATTATTACCAATACCAGTCGTATTGCAATCCTCTCTGAGAGATGTGGTTTTTCCCCTTTCAACACAAAATCGCTGCTACCAATTTGAAGTTCCATTTCCACGCGGTTGTACAGATCACTGAATATTGCTTATCAAAGATGTGAATTTCTTCCCCGATATTTCTTTCGCACCCACATGTGTTGCCACACCAAAATAAAATTTTGGAGGAAAGTGGCCAATTAAACGTTTAAACTTCACGGTTGAAGATAGGGAAAGCTTTTGAAAATTTATTTTCCCGGTCATCCAATTCCTCATTTCTCCTTCGAGATGGAAATATGAGGATGTTGTATGCGCAGTCCCTTCTTAAATTTTTTAGATTTCCTTTTGGGATGAAATAAAGGTGTCTTTCAAAAGGGTTCTCAAGGAGAATATAAGCTTGCCTATGTCTGGGCGTCATGAATCAGTCTTGAATGAGCGGATAACAAATTATGACATGTTCGCCTTCATTGGTTCCTTCAATGAGACATGGCGAGAAACAATGGCGAGGTACTAAACGGTCCTGCGAAGGATAATTCCAAGAAAAGAGGGAAGAGGAAATGGGGGTACTGTGTGAAAAGCGAGACCCGTACCTTCATTCATGTTGCATGGTGAAAAACTTCATGAGGTTGAAGTTCTCTACCAGAACTTCCAGTTTTTAGCAACTTGAGAATTTGCCCACGTTGAGACCATATTTGGGCAACATCGACCACAACATTCATGTTTCGCAAACGCTTCCCACCCTTACCCAACGTTGACCAAACATAACATTATATCAGGGATATACTAGATTGAAATTCTTATATTGAAAAAGGGAAATGTTACTTCTCTGCAACCTCGGGGAGATGAATCTTAAAATCTTCTGGAGCTATTCAGTGTCGAGAGAGGAAAAATAAAGCCAAATTTCGGTACTTTTCATTGCGGAACTGTTCATTCTCAGGGAGTACAGTAGGCTTAGTACCCTCTTGGAAGTTTCCGATAGTGTTTCCCTACCAAAAGATTAGTAAGGTTTTGAACTTGATCTTTCATCAATTGAAAGCTGTCGGAAATAATTTTAGTACCGTGTGAATGGTAATATGACCACCCCAAATGATTATTCCACCTCGTAGCACTTCAGAAGACGGGAATAATACCTATTTGGAAAGAAAAAACAAAAGCACGCATGGTCATTTTCCTGGGATCTCCTGGTGACGAGACCGACTTGTGATGGCTGCGTAACATCAGCATACCAGGATGCTACATTTTATCTAAATTGGAATAAAAGTTTATAAAATCATCTGAAATGACCAATACTGTGAGGGAGACAACTATGGCGACGTATGGCACAGCTATACTTGAAGACTCATAACTCTATTATAACATGTACAATTCGATTGAAATTTTAAGCCAATCATATTCTCGCTTCCCGGCTTTCGAATGGTGCTAGTCTCGTGTGAACGGGACTCCTATTGCTGTAGCTGTCAAATGCCAAACAGTTTTGTTCTTCACACTGAGGCATACAGAAAAGAGAATTTGTTTAATTTATGTTTTATTTGCCTTTGGCCCTCTACGTTACCTTGACCCTTCTAGGCATGATCTCGATCAAGTCTAAGCATATTTGGAGCGAAATGGCGTCTAAATTAGTATTGACCAGCTTCGGAAACTCATAAATGCAACAGCCTCACTTTCGTATCCTGGCAGACTTGGCTTCAAATGTTCCCACTATTATATTCGATTAAGGTCCAGCGACTATGTTGACCGTTCTGGGACCTCGACTACGTGGTCGTGAAACCCTTGGTGAGCTAACCGCGAGGTGTGTTTCAGATCTTTGTCCTGCTCAATCGCCACCTCTCCCTCTTCTAGCCGATAATATTGAATTGTTGGCAACAATTCCTCCTCGAGGATGCCTGTTGCCTGTACAGCTTGGAGTCTTTTTCCTACCTTCTAACAACCATTTCCGACTCCTTTAGACGTCAGGCAGCCCCAAAACATCAGGCTATCGCTTCCATACTTTCAAGTACTACTCTCATGCCGCTCTGTGAACGCCTCGCCGAGCTGTTTCCGTATCAAATCGTGCCCTTCACGCCACCAAAACTGAATAATGAAACGTGTAATTTGGTCAGACGAGACCTATATTGAAATTGTGAAGTCGGACTCTTAGCGCTAGAATGATTAGTGTCGCATTCAGCTGAATTTTTTCTCTGGACAGATGGCATCATAACGTATGAACTTCTCCCGTCTTGTTCATGAGAACGATATGGTCGCTTACTGCAATGAACCTACTGCATAACCTTTCCAGGAATGCACTATTTTACTGCACATTGAAACAAGGTTAACCTAATATCACTTTAGGCAATTTTTTGCAACTTAAATAGTATGAAAATTCATGTGCAAGGCAATTCTTTATCACGGCCGTTTCTGAAGAACTTCAATTAGATTTATATGAGGTATTACATGAGGATAGCTGTTGGATATTTCTTTCGGATGTAAAGCGGATCTCCGTTTATCAATAACGTACCTTGTATGTGCAGCTGATGTAATAAGGGAAAATTGTTTCTACCTGGATTGGCTTAGAAATGATACGGAAAGTGAAAGTGTTATTGGACATGAGGGTTGGGATGCTACCCAGGATATGTTTGAGTACTAAACCCTGGAACAGGTTTACTAGTGCGGGAACTGCTTCTACTTCGTGATAATCATTTATCAAATGATTTATCAGTCAAAATCATTTTTAAATCAAAATATCTGCCACACCAGGAATAATGAAAAGCGTATTCTCCATGTATCCCCTCTACCCGGACACAAAATACCATTGGGACTGAAACAATGGATGAAGAAATCGGATGACTGACTTTGAACATAAGCTTGATATCCTTCGGAGGGAAGAAGGGAGCTCTGATCGTTCAAAACCAGCTCACAAGATCCATCAGTGCGTCGGTAGTTGTAGGCTTTACAGGGATTCGGTTTTTGACTCATGCATAGTATACTGCAACCCATTCGTCTTGGAACAAAGACTTCCAACGACACATTCGCATACCTTTTTCCGGGATCGACTGGATAATACGTGAAGAAGCTAAATACTGCCTTGAATGACAGAAAGTAGATGAGGATCGCACGCGTCCTCCCACAACGGGCCATCTTCATCAACTAAAGGTTATCCTCAAAATGGCAACTATTTTTTTCTATAAGTTGACCTCGGAGATCACGTGATAAGTTCCAGCCAATACAAAAAGACCACCGGCATAGCAGGGGTGTTCCATTTCCTCGTATTTCCACCAATGAGGTTGCATTGCATGTGCTATTGATTCCAATGGTCCCTCTTGTGAAACGTATGGGAAGGTATGTAACATGGGAAATGTTCACTTGTCTCATGAAACATAAAGTAGAAGGTCTCATGGCAACGAAGGAATAACAATGCAATTTAATTAATTCAAAATTGAAAAGAAATGCTAATGAAAATATTCGGGCTGTACCAGTGGCAATATTTGGCCGGTGGGTCGATGACCGATTATCTCCACAAAAGCATCAGCCGATGCCAGTGGCAAGCGTGGTTTGTAGAAGAAATCGCCTATAAATTGGAATTGGCCAAATTGGAATCCAATGTGATTCTCATCAGTAGGACTCCTTGAAACGATAGAGATTACTTTTGGGCCTGTCCAGCCTGTCCGTCTCTCAATGCTCCTGTCCGTGGTTAGAATGCTACTCACTGCTTCAGTTGAGAGCATTCAGTGACACTTCCCTTGCGAAAAGCATAACGTAAATGGAGATGCAATGACTTCCCTTTTTAACCGTTATTTTCCTCCACCGGTTCCTATAATACGGCTGTAAGGTAATCCAATCGATATTTTAGCCTGGGAGACGCTGGCAGGAATGGCCGAAGTCAGACAGGAGGGCCGGCGCCGAGGCACGTGAACACCCTCACGGAGTTTTTTTTTCGCTTTGCCCGTCCTTCGGGCACCGTCACCGGAGCCGTGGCCATAGGCCTATGGCCGATGGTGCCGATAGTGCAACACCAGCGGCCAATACCGGTGTTGGCCGATACATCGGTTTAACCTTAGAAAATATGCACATTTAATATTCAAGGCTGTTTGGGAAGAGCAAGGGACAGATATTAGGGATGAGGTAAGGGTTCTGTTCCGATCGGGTTATAAACCATAGGGCGTGATTGACATTGATAATTGAATCCAAATATGATGTATATGAGGCATTATTTAGTACATGCAGTAGCGCTTCGGTCTGAGTCGGTTCGCAGCTTTTCTGCAGCAACGGATATTTTTCAATCTTCCCTGTTTCTTGAACATCTCATTCCATGTTATTTTAGAGAACTTTGCCCTTTGAGCTTGAGTGTTGTTTCCAAGAGTGGAAGGTACTGCATCTTGGAATAGAAACCTATAATTTCCATAGAAATCCATTATTACGTCGTCCAATGTCATATGCCCTTCAGGGAAACTTAATAGTCTTTCATGGAATGGTAACAGGATCTTGCTAACTCCAGATATGTAGTCATGC